AGAAGATAGAGGAAAAAATGGGTTTGGTTTGATGCAGAAAACAGAGTCTACCTTACAGAAAAACCCTGATACCTGCCAAATGTGTCTTATCTCACCAAGAAGAAAGAGAGGGTAAGGGACTGGGGAACTGACCACCCTGGATCCCCCTCATGTTTTGGCCGAAAGTAAGCTAATAAAGAAGATTCTTTAACAGGCACTTTAAAAAACGAAGTAACAAGTATTAGTGAGGATGTGCAGAAACGAGAACCTCACATAACCTTAGTAGGAATGTAAAATGGTGCAGCCACTCCAGAAAACACTTTGTTCATGTCTTAAAAACAAATACAGATCAGCAATTCTACTCTTTAAGAATCTACCTAAGAGAAATGAAAATGTATATCCACACAAAGATTTGTACATAAATGCTCATAACAGCATTATGTATAATGGCCAAAAACTAGTAACTCAAATGCCCATTAACTGGTGAATGGATACACAAAATGTAGTGTATATGATGAAACAGCATTCAGCCATAAAAAGGAATAAAATACTCAGACATGGGTGAACCTTGAAAATGTAATGCTAAGTAAAAGAAGCTGGATTCAGAAAACCATATATTGTATGATTTCATGTATATGAAATGTCCAGAAAAGGCAAATCTATAGAGATAGAAGGTAGGTAACTGGTTGTCAGGGACTGGCTGTGTACTGGAAGTGGATACAACTGGGCATGGAAGAATCTTTTTAGCATAGTGGAAGTGTCTTCAAACCAGATTGTGGTAATTTCTGCACTACTCCATAAACCTAACTAAAAATCATTGAATTGTACTCTTAAATAAGTAAACTTAATGGTATGTGAATCACACCTCATTAGAGGGAGAACCAGCAAGAGAGGCTACGCATAGTATGCATAAGCATGCAGGCAAAGGAGAGATAGCATGAGCTCTGAGGTCAAAGGAAAAAAGGTTAGCTGAGTACGGACTATATAATGTCCTATGACAAAGAAAGAATGTAGAGGTCAAACGTGATGGCAGCAGATAGCTTAACTAATGCTTTTGAACAACAAGGCAACTGTAGGTTATGGCAGTAAGGTTCCTGCCTATCAACTGTTTTACCTTTAGGAATTAATGTCATAGCACCAAGGCCGTGGCATCCATAGTGCTGGAGACACTGGCAGTCTCCCCAGAGTCAGTCCTATCAACTAGGAAACTGGGCAAGAGACTAAAAGAAAGTCATTAGGAGGGATGAATCTACGTATTTTAGGTTTTGAAAGATACCTAGAATTTTTATATTATGAGTTATAAAAGAAAATGGAAATTAATATCTAAGTAAAAAAGAATCAGGATTCAGAATCCCTACCTGAATCACAAAGAGTCTGTCAGAATAACTTGCTTTTGTGGTTCTGATACTCAATTCAGTTATGGAAAGCAGAGGTAAAGTACCGGATGTGGGAGGCTGCTTTTTTTTGCATCCTATTTTTCAATGGAATTCCCTAAGAATGAAAAGACAGTACTGAGAGGAGAATCAATTCAGTACTGTATCTTTATGAAAACCCTTAGTTCAGGGAAAATATTTAACGAGAAGCAAGCAGGACATGAAGATTATCTTCAATTCGAAATTCAAAAACATGACTCAATGAAATGAGAAATCTTAGGAGTTGGAGTGATCTATTCTCCATTGTCTTGGATAGAAGTAAATTTACGAATAATTGCTTTAAGTGTGATTTAATAAGAAATTTTCTGAAGAAAACCCAATACAAAAATCAGCCATGCATAGCTAGTCAGGAAGAAGCTGAGGCGGGAGAATCACTGGAGCCCAGGAGGTCGAGGCTACAGTGAGCCAAGACCATTACACCACACTCCAGCCTGGGCAAGAGTGTGAGACCCCATCTAAAAATAAATGAATGAATTAATAATAATAATAAAAGAAAAATCTAACTCAGTATCACTGAATAACAAAAGCTCTATATAATTATTATAGCTCATCCTCTACATTTGTGTTTCTGGAGTGAAATGGAATTTCCCAATTCTTCCTTAACTGTGTTACCGAATCACAGATGCCCCGCTCTCCCTGCTTCGGCCAGGAATCCCCCAGGGTTTACTACTGAGTATGTACTCCAACAGGACCCACTGTCTATGGGGAGCACCTGTCATCCCCATCTTGTGAATGGAAGAGAATCATGGCTAAGCCATAGTGTTATAGTTTTTTGTTTTTAAGAAAGAAAGAACTTCTGTTAATAAGGTGGCTGTGAAGCAGTGGAACCAAATTCGATTCACTATACTCCGATAGTCACAGGGAGCATGTGAGCATCCTCCTCTGGATCCAGTCCTAAGTGATTTTTATGGATGGATATCTTCCCCTCTATGACATAAAACACACAGAAAACACGAACTAAAAAAAGAGGGCAGGGTAAAAAAGATAGTTTCCTCAGAAGCCTGGTGAACTTAAGATTTATCAGCTATAATCATAGTTTTACAGACTGTTGTTTTTGCTTCTCCTTCTTTAAAATAATCTTCCTCACCAATGGAATATTCCTAACTAAAGTAAGAAAAACTATATATTGGTTTTAACTAAGCAGGATCACACAAAGGTAAATCCTGGAATAGTTTGGAGGAGCCACTGCCATGTATGTAACTAAACCTCCATGACTCCCTAGAGCCTTGTAACAGGAGGAAACTGTGCACTGTAGGTCATTTACACAATGGTTTCTTTCCCCACACTGCCCATGACATGGACTGAAAGACATTCATGATACAATAAGTTTGACATCTGCCAACAGGTGCCATCTGGCCATAGAAATCTAATCTCTTGGAGCCTGGGAGCAGGCAATGAGTCTTAAGAAGGCAACCTCATTGCTGGCAAGATTGCAAATTATGATACACACCTCCTCCCACTCCAAGTTTGGCTAGATTGACCTCCCTCAGCACAAGCCAGCTGGTACATACTAGAGAAGTGGAAGACAGAGTAAACAGGCACTTTCAGCCTGGCCAAACATGGTATAAGGCTTGGACTCCAGCCCAGAGCTGCCAGAGCTGGTTAGGAAATGTACAAGGATAGCAATTCCCATTTTTTTAAAGCAGCAGCTCTCCCTACTCTCCCCTCTAGGTTTTGCAGACTGTCTCAAACCCCAGATATTCCTTTTTCAAAGAACCTAGTGATAGAAGTGACATACATCTGGAAGTTCCAACCGGTTAAGAAATTCCTGTCTCAGGACAGGGAAGAGCGCCAAATTTAAATGTAAGCTTCTAAATTTCTCTTTACTGATGAAAATTAATAATTTCCCTATCACTTTTGAGCAGTTCTTATACATCAGGAACTAACCCAGCTGCGGAATGAAAGGCTTCCATCCCCACTCTTTTAAATGCAACAGATGGGAAGTTCCATGACTAACAGAGTAAGGAGCTAGCTAGCGTATAGGGAGGAAATTTCAGACCTGAGTATACCTTAGAAGTCACATACTGTGACCACATAATTTATTGTCCAAACTCAGACACTTCGAGGAATGAAAGGACATTATTAATACTGATGCTAGAATAACAGAGATAAAGCAAGACTCCCTCAGCACACTGGAACAGGGAGTCACCCTACTAGAGGATATGTCATTCTCTATTTAAAATTCCTCAATGATTTCCCATCACTTTAGAATGAATTTTACACCACATTCTCATCCTTATTAACTTAGGCATGTACCTCAACTATAGTACCTATCAGACTAGATGAAGGTTGTTGATTCTCTTACGTCTTCTCACACCCCATGTCCCTAAATAATGCTCTACTTTAATGTATGTCTCACAGTAGCAGCCAGTGAATGTGACAGTTGATCTAAATGGCTTGGCAAACTTCATGGTTGGTCATCCGCCATCCAACATAATGTCTTACAGCAGATTTTCCTCCATCCATGCGTCTTTCACCTATACTTCGTATTACTCACTTGTCACTTCCTAGGTAACTGACTTTCAGGCAAGTTATTTAACCTCCCTGTGGCTTCGTTTACTTGCCCATCTAACAGGATTAATAATACTATGTACTTCAAGGGAGTATTAGGAACACTGAATGAGTTACCACACACACACTGCTTTAAACAATACCTAGCATTTAACACCCAGTAAGCACTTTGGGGGCAGAAATCTTAGTCCCTATGCACATGCCAGCAACAATGCCTGACAGAGAAAACACTTGAAAAGTATGCTGAAAGCTTAACGAGATATACTTCTTTCTTCTCCATTTTTTTCCAATCCCTTGCTTTGCCCCAACAGTGCCACATTTTATATATCCCACATATTCCTGTCTCTCTAACAAAAACCTGGCACAATGCTCTTAGATAACCATCAAACTTTATATGCCAGAAGACAGAACACTCTACCTAAAATAGATTAAATATTACTCCTGAGTTTCCTGCCTACTAGTTGCTTGATTTTAAGTACAGACCATGACTAACAGAGAATAGTTAGTTCCCACAGCTACTGAAAGTTGAGGACTACATGTGGGAACTATCAGGGTCAGGGCTGGGAATGAAAAAAGATAACTACTACCTTGTGTTTTCACATCTAAGTAAGGAAAATACCTACATTGAGTATACACATTCAAACATACACAAACTGTAAACAAAGTTACAAATCCTATAAATCATAAAACATAATACAAAATAGGCTTACTTTTAAAAATAGAATTTTACAAAAATAAAATTACCTAAAATTAAGCCCACCATTGTACTTAAATATCCGGTTCCACTTCCCAGGTTAAGAAAAGACAATCCTGGTTGAAGTTTCAATGCTTCCATAACTTCAGAATAAATGCAAGGTGCTGACAAGTGGATGTTTCCATGCTTCCAGGCTAAGTCTTTGTAAGCATTGTCTCTGTAGCCTTCCAAATAGTAATCGCCACGATCAATCGCTCTGAAGGCTTGCTCCACTCTTTCAGTACGGATATACTGAGCTTCTTTTAAATTATCAATTAAGTCATCATTATCTTCCCCAGCACTCACAGCTCCTCCCATGATAGTATTCAAATCAAATCATAAATTTAAAAATGAAATAAAATTAGTAGAAATGGCTTCCAATATTGCACTTGATTTCCAAAAATAAATTAATCCTGGAAGGGAAGAACAAAAATAAACAGGTTTAAATTAATGCTCAAAAGCAAAATAACTCCAGTTTATTAAATGTATGTCATTATAATTAACTATCATTTCTCATGGAAATATTCTGCTCCAGGCATAGTGTTAAACTCCTTAACTATATTATTTTATTTAATTCTTATAGTAACCACAAAAGGTAACTTATATGATCTCATCTGTACAGATGGGAAAACTGGAACACAAAGAAGTCAAGTCAGTCACCTAGTACCATGAGGCTCATTACAGTGGCCACTAGTCACACATGGTTACCTCGACCTAAATTAATGAAAATTAAATACAATTTAAAATTCCATTAGTCAACCTACCTATATTTTCCATATTTTAAGTACTTTATAGCTACTTGCAGCTAGTGGCTACCATTCTAGACAGTGCTGCTCTGGAGAGTGACACTGCCAGGAATTGCTCTCAGGTCTTTAGAGTCAGAAACCATGCTGTTTTTTTGTTTTATTGTTTTGTTTTTTGTTTCGTTTAAGACGGAGTCTCACTCTGTCACCCAGGCTACTGTGCAGTGGCACGATCTTGGCTCATCCCCTCCCGGGCTTAAGTATTCTTTCCACCTCAGCCTCCCAAGTAGCTGGGATTACAGGCCCATGCCACCACGCTCAGCTAAATTTTGTATTTTTTTTTGTAGAGCTGGAGTTTCACCATTTTGCCCAAGGTAGTCTCAAACTCCTGAGCTCAAGAGATCAGTCCACCTTGACCTCCCAAAGTGCTGGGATTACAGGAGTCAGCCACCACACCTGACCTCCATTCCTTCAATCACTGAGCCACATTGGCTTCTTTATAGTATAGTAATTCTAGTTTAATTTAAAAAATTAGTTTATTTTAAATTCCTGAACTTAAAAACCTCTACCAATTCAAAAATGCACTACATAAATTTAAAATGTTAACACAAAGAATAACATATTACTCAATCACTGAACATAAAATACAAAATAAACAAACCCAGACTCACGTTTATTAATGTACTCATGTGTTATCTCTCTGTTTTGTTTGGTAAACTTTGTTGTGATAGAAACCACAGGTTTCATCAATAACTTCAACAGTCCAAGCACTAGAACATGTTTAATACACACACACACACACACACACACACACACACACACACACTCTCACACACTGAACTTCTTTAACAGATTAAACTCAGCATCTGAATAGAAACGTTAAGTGCAACCTGAGGGAACTAAAAAAATTTCAAAACATAATACCGAATATACAATTTAAGCTTCATTCAACTAGCTAGTAAGTAAATTAATATATCAATTTCTAAATTAATAAATCAGTAGAAAAGTGTGAAATGAAATACCCATGGCCAGTAACAAGAGTTATGACAGTTAACTCTGGCAAGAATATCCTAACTCTTGACACTAGAGAAGCATATCAATCAGGGTCTCAAGTATTTCCACGGTCCTCAGACCCCTGGCACCACTGGGGCAGCTCTCCCAACAGGGCCTGTCATATTGTCTTTGTCTGTGTCCCCTTTGTCCTTTCCTACAATTGCCTTAAGAACTTTTGGAGTAGAGAAAACACTGTGAATTCACATTTAATTCATTCAAACTCACATATAAAAAGCTGGCTGGCTCTAGCACTTCCAATCCTCAAAAATATAAAAGTACAAGGGTTTACAGCACCCTTCTCCTCAATGAGTATATTTTGTAGAATGTAGTGCAATGGGAGATGTCAATTCACTATTCCTTCAACAGGTCTTAGCTGTGGCATCTCGACTTGCTGAGTCCAACTGCAGCATTTCAAGAATTTTTTTTTTTAATAACATGGCTTTTAAGCACAAGCCAACTTTTTCATCTGGCACTCAGTGAATCTCTTCCTAAGATGAAAGAAAAAATGGATATATTACAGTAGGAGATAGTCTCTGTCAGTATTCAGTGTGGCATTTGTCTATGGATTTCATAAGAATAATTCTGACTACACGGATATTTAGCAAATTGCTATACCGTAAATGCCACAATTTACTAGAAAAATTATTCCCTTTGAGTAGGCTCTGGGGCTTAAGAAGGATCTGACCCTTCTTAGATCCTTTTGAATTCCATTAAATGCAAAATTATCATAGCCAAACAATTATCCTAGCAAAACAATCAATCAAACATGGTCTTTACTGGACAGCTCACATTCTTAGTGAGAAAAAGGCTAGAGGAAGAATCAAATAAGTAAGAACTACCACCATTTACTAACAACCACTGTACTGAGTGTGTTATTTGTAGCTCATTAAAAATTACTATATGCCAGGCCAGGTATGGTGGCTCACACCAGTAATCCCAGCACTTTGGAAGGTCAAGGTGGGCGGATCACTTGAAGCCAGAAGTTCAAGACCAACTTGGCCAGCATGGCGGAATCCTGTCTCAACTAAACATACAAAAATTAGCCAGATGTGGTAGCTCATGTCTGAAATCCCAGCGCTTTAGAAGGTCAAGGCAGGTGGATCACTTGAGGTCAGGAGTTAAAGACCAGCCTGCCCAACATGGTGAAACCCTGTCTCTACTAAAAATACAAAAAAATTAGCTGGGTGTGGTGGCACACAGATGTAGTCCCAGCTACCCGGGAGGCTGAGCCAAGGAGAATCGCTTAAACTTGGGAGGCAGAGGTTGCAATGAGCAGAGACTGGGCAACAGAGATTTCCTCTCCAAAAAAAAAAAAAAAAAAAAAAGGTATTCAATCAAATGGCTGATGGCTGTATGGATTTTAAAAACAATGACTGAATGGCTTAGAAAAGCAAGATCCAACAATATGCTGCCTATGAAAGACTCACTTTAGCCTTAGAACACACATAGACTGAGAATAAAGGGATGAAAAATGATAATCCAAAGAGAGCAGGGATGACCATACTTCCATCACACAAAACAGATTTTAGGTCAAAACTGTAAAATGAGACAAAGAAGGACATAATTTTATGTTCTGTTGAAGAGAACAGAATAATTTTAAATATACATGCAGGCAATATTGGAGCACCTAAATATAAAAAGCAAATTTTAATAGTTCTGAATGATGAGATCGACTGCAATACAGTAATAGCAGAGGACTTCAATACTCCACACTCAACAATGGACAAATTATCCAGACAGAAACAGTGGACTTGAACAATGCTTTAGACTAAAGGGACCTAACAGGCATATATAGAAAATTCTATCCAACAGCAACTGAATACTCATTTCTCTCCAATGAACATGGAACATTTTCCAGGATATATTATATGTTTGTCTACAAAACAAGTCTTAATAACTTTGACTGAAATTACATCAAATAGCTTTTCTAATCATAATGGAATGAAACCAGAAACCAGTAACAGAAGGAATTTTGGGACATTCACAAACACCTAGAAATAAACAACATGCTCCTCAAAACCAGTTGGTCAAAGAAATTTAAAAATAAATAAAAATATCTTTAGACAAAGGAAAACAGACAACATATAACTTATAAGATGCATCAAAACAGTTCTAAAAGGGAAGTTTACAGCAATAAATGCCTATATCAAAAGAGAGTAAAGATCTCAAATAAATTCAAGAAACTAGAGAAAAAAGAACCAATTAAACCCCAAATTAGGAGAAGAAATGAAATAATAAAGATCCAGAACAAAAACAGATAAAACAGAGAATAGAAAGAAAATAGGAAAAAGATTAGTGAAGTTAAGAGTTGGTTCTTCAAAGATAAAATCAACAAATTTTTAGCAAACTAAGAAAAAAAGAAGGCTCTAACAATAAGTCAGAAACAAAAGAGGAAATATCACAACTCAGAAGATACCACAGAAGTACAAAGGATCATAAGACACTATGAACAATTATCCACCAACAAACTGGATAACCTAGAATAAATTCCTGGAAATGTACAGCCTACCAAAGTTGAATCAAGAAGGAAAAGAAAATATGAACAGACCAGTAACAAGCAAGAAGATTGAATCAATAATTAAGAAATCTCCCATCAAAGAAAAGCCCAGCACTAGATGCCTCAAGGTAAAATTATACCAAACATTTGAGGACCTAATACCAATTCCTTCTCAAACCCTTCCAAAAACTCAAACTGAAGAGAATAACTACAAAATCCATTTACAGAGCTAGACTGTATGGCTAGACTGAACCTTGTTACTGAAGCTAGACAAGGACATTACAAGTAAATAACAGGCTAATATCCCTGATGAACACATTTGGAAAAATCCTCAACAAAACACTAGCTAACCAAATTCATCAGAACATTAAAAGGATCATTCAAAACCAAGTGAGATTTACACCTGGGATACAATGATTGTTGAATACACACAAATCTATAAGGTGATATACCATATTAGCAGAATGAGGACAAAAACTCTACGATCATCTCAACAGATGCAGAAAAAGCAGTTCACAAAATTCAATATCCCTTCCTGATAAAAACTCTCAATAAATTAGACACAGAGGAAAGATACCTCAACATAATAAAGGCTATATATGAAAAGCCCACAACAAACATACTCGATGAAAAGTTGAAAGGTTTTCCTCTAAGATCAGGAATAAGAATATCTATTACCACTTCTATTCAACATAGAACAAAGTTCTAGCTGGAACAATTAGACAAGAAATAAAGGGCATCTAAATAGGAAAGCAAAAATTGAAAATACTTCTGTTAACTGATAACATATATATTAGAAAATTCTAAAGACCTACAAAAAACTGTTAGAACAAGTAAACAAAATCAGTAAAGCTGCAGGGTACAAAATCAACACACAAAAGTCAGTAGCATTTCTTTACACTAACAACAAACTATCTGAAAAAATAAATTAAGAAATCAATCCCATTCACGACAACATCAAAAAACATACCTAAAAGTAAACTTTAACCCAGGAGGTGAAAGATTTGTATATTAAACACTATAAAATATTGAAAGAAACTAGACAACACAAATAAATGGAGAGATGTCCCGTGTTCATGGAATCAAAGAAATAATAGTTAAAATGTCCATACTACCAAAAGTGGTTTACAGATTCAGCATAATCACATTAAAATTCCAATGATATTTTTCACAAAAATAGAAAACAATCCTAAAATTTGTATGTAATCATATACGCAAAAAGTAGAAAACCAGAGGTATCACATTATCTGACTTCAAAATTCATTACAAAGCTATAGTAATCAAAGCAGCATGGAACTGACATAAAAACAGACACAATGACCAAACAAAATAGATGGAGAGACCAGAAATAAACTCCACAAATTTATGGTCAATTGATTTTCAACCAAGATACCAAGAACACAAAATGAAGAAAGCACAGTCTCTTTAATAAGTGCTGCTGGGAAAACTGGATATCCACAAGCAGAAGAATAAAATTAAATCTTTATCTCACACCACATACAAAAATCAATTCAAAGCAATTTAAAGATTCTAAATATAAGACCTGAAACTGTATAACTATTAGAAGAAAACATAAGGGAATTGCTCCATTACATTGGTCTGGGCAAAGATTTCTTGGATATGACCCCAAAAGCACAGGCAACAAAAGCAAAAATAAATGTGATTGTATAAAACTAGAAAGCTTCTGTTCAGTAATGCTTTACTAATTGTTGACAAACAGTAAAGTGAGGTGATAACACATATTGGGAAAAAAAAAAAAAAAAAAAAAAAAAAAAAAAAAAAAAAAAAAAAAAAAAACACTGTAAACCAGACATCTGATAAGGGATTGCAAACCATACATCTGATAAGGGATTAAGATCCAAAATATGAAATGAACTCAACTGAATAGCAAGAAAACAAATACGCCAATCAAAAAACAAACCAAAGACCAAATAAACAATTCTCGAGATATATAAACAGCCAATGCATATGAAAAATGGTCATCACAGAAATGCAAATTAAAACCACAATGAGGTATCACTTTATACTTGTCAGAATGGCTATTATCAAAAAGACAAAAGATAACAAGTCTAGGCAAGGTTGTAGAGAAAAGAAAATTCTTGTGAACTGTTAGTGGAAATGTAAATACATATAGCTACCATGAAAAACAGTATGCCTCCTCAGAAAACTAAAAACAGAATTATCCTGTGATCCAGTAATACCACTTTTGAGTCTATATGCAAAAAAACTGAAATCAGTATGTCAAAGACATCTACATTCCCACGTTCACTACAGCACTGTTCACAATACCCAAGATATGCAAGCAAGTTGGGCATCCATCATCAGAGAAATGGGTAAAGAAAATGGTATATTATGTTTACGGTGTATAGAGATACACAGGTACATATATAATGGATTACCATTCAGCCTTTAAAAGGAGTTTAATTCTGTCATTTGCAACAACATGGATTAACCTGGAAGACATTATACTAAGTGAGATAAGACAGTCATAGAAAGACAAACACCACATGATCTCCCTCATATGTGAAGCCTAAAATGGTTGAACTAATAGAAATAAAGAGTAGAATGTTGATTACCAGAGGCTACGGCAGGAGGGTAGGTGGGGAAAGGAGAAATGCTGATCAAAAGGCACAAAGTTTCCCCTAGACAGAAGAAATATGCTTTAGTAATCTGTCCAGAATGGTGACTATAATAAATCATAATGCACTGTATTATCTCGAAATTGCTGAAACAGTAAATTTTCAATGTTTTCACCATACAAAATGACAGCTTTGTGAGGCAAATTTTTTAATTGGCCTGATTTAATCATTTCACACTGTAAACATATATCAAAAAATCATATTGTACCCCATAAATATACAATTATTATTGGCTAATTAAAAATTAAATAGAATTTTAAGGAAAAACCAAAACTACAGAATAAAGGGAATATAATTATATTACTTAGTATGAGGGGTGTGAAAGAATGACACACTGTTTACATAGTCAAAA